ATGAAGAGGAAAAAAAATTCACCAATATGCATTTTTATGTTGTCTGGCAGTGCATAGACCATGACAACAAAATATTTATTGGCTTGGTTGCTCCCAATGAGATATTTGAGGACTATAAGTACCTGATCAAAGTCTCTGATGCCTGCAGCTGGTGTAAAGATGAGGATAAAATCACCCAGGCTAACAGGTGTGTTCAACACACATTCACACACTTCCACTTTATACAAACACACCTATTTATAGAACTTGTGTTGGTAGTTCTAGGAAACGGCTTTGTCAGCTTTGAGCAAACACTTATGATTATAGTTAAGCATGATTTAATTGTTACTAAAAAAAACTACTAGTTAAAATTGTTTCTTCTTTAACTATTAATTTCCAGTAACAAAGCTATTCAGCATTAATATGTTCAAACTTGATCAAATGTTATGTTATAGGCTATTTAGCATTCTTTTTTTTTTTTTTTTACAATATTATTGAAGACCAAACATCTCTGTCATGATTTGTTCTTACAAAGACCATTGCTCATCATTTGCTGTTTGAGGAATAGCTGTGAATAACATCAGATTTCTGTTTTGTCTGCTTTTGTCTTTTTTGGCAAATGGTCATTTTTTCTCCTGAACCCATCCCAAGATGACTGAAACAGAAAAAATGATTTACCTGTTTGCCGAATCTATATTTGAAAGGGTTCTAAGACAATAGAAATAACTGACAAATTCCAGAAGTCATGTCTCACATCTGAGAAATGTGAGCAATGCTAAGGGTTGAATGGAACTTTAATTTGTGCTCTGCTGTGGTTGCCACACAACTCAAAAAAATAAAGCATTTACTTTGAAAGCAGCAAATTTTTGAACATGTGACAAAAACAACGTTCTCACACTTCTGTTTAAATCAATTTCTAAAAAGAACCTTTGAAGTTGGAACTCTTACTTTGAATATGTTTTTTTTTTGACTGTTCGATGGTCCAAAATAAGATGCCATTGAAAATGGTCGATAACCAATATTTATAGATATTATGATGACATGGTGGTGGGGCTCATCTTTGGAAGAGAGCAGATTAGGGAGATTACAGCTTAATTTAAGTGGCAATATTTTGACAGGTATCGATATCATTACTCTGACTATAGACTATAGTATGTGGTATTTTCAGCAAGCATTTTGGCCTGCATTTAGGCAATGTTTAGCACCTAAACATTTAGCCATTAAATGTTTTTTTTAGTCAATGTTTTTTTAGCACCTAAAAACATTGACTTATATGTTAGTTCTTAACTTCAAGATTTTGTAAGGAAAGAAAGACAATTATTGCCATGAAGAAGTAAAGTTTTTATACTTTCTGGCCAATGGTAGAATTAGTGACAGTGGAGATGAGATGAAGAAGAACCTGTGATCACTGTGGTCAATCAAAATGTTGAGATATGAAATAACTGAAGATGCAGCATTTGACAGGATTCAAACAAGCATGTATTCCAGAAAAGAAAAGAAAATGTGGTCTTAACCGAACGGGAATTGAAGCCATTTCCAGGAATGTCATACCTCAAATACCCAAGGTCAAGAATGTATTCATCATCGGAGCCTGGTTTGATGATCACATGGTACCAAGTGTTGTTTCACTTCTTGGAGAATATGAATCTTTTACATTTCAAGACATTTGTAGCTTATGCAGAAGCCTAATAAATGAGGGTTACATCCAGACATTCTCAAGAGTGCTAGTGTTTCACCATCACCATTGTAATGCTTTATGTTAAAACATAGACTGGTGTCTAAGGCAGTGTGCCCTTGTGTATAAATGGTGTAAAAGATTTCTTGCTGCTAGTAATGCTCAAAGAACCTACTTTTGCTAGTACTGAGCTCTTGTCCTTTTTGTGTTGCCCAGAATCCGAATTGTAAATTTTATTCTCAATAACACACGCATCAGCACAGGCGGTGAGTGGCTTTAATAATGGCTATTTCTTTTTTCATGTTTATGGATGAATGGATTGAGATGCAAATGTGTTATACATTAATAATACCAACACATTCTAAATCTTTTCACATTGTTTCACAATGTTAATATTTTCAGAGAACCTGGAGAAGCTGATAATGGAGGGTGTGTTTGAAACTATGTTCTGTCTTCATGAGGTGAGTAAACTTTTGACTGCTTATTTTCCAATTTGGTTTTGTGAAACCAATGCAAGTAAGTGATGAAAAGGAGTGACTGCAAACCCTTCAGCTTTCATCCACTTACTATTTTACTCATCCTTCTTTCTTTGAAGTAGTGTTTCTGGACTTCCTTGATGTTTTTAATTCATTTATTTTTACATGTCATGACTCTCAGAAAAAGGAGCAGAAGATGCTGCGAAGCAAGTGGGCTCGATGGTCGGCTCTCTTTACACCACAACCATTCGAAGACATCAAGTCAGTTTCTTACTCTTTATCACAACTGCCATGTGACTGAAACTATTTAGAGCTTTTAAGTTGTTTTTGTGCCTCATTATTTTTAAACTTTTCACAACATTTATTCCACAGAAAATTAAAAGCAAAGTCTGTCCTTAGGAGACTCAGCCAGACACTTTCTACTGGGGATTGGATGCTTTAAAAGTCTAAGCTGCAGGCATTACTAAAACAACAGATGATAACAGATACCAATCCCAAAATTGTAAATGACATTTTTATTTTATCTGAAATTTACAAAAATATTCAAAGGGATGGTTTGCATTCTCATTAAAAGTTCATTAATTCATGTAAAATTACATTTAAAATTTTTATTATCTAGAAACATTGAACAGATTTTGTTTTATTTATTTGTTTGATTTATATAGGCAAATCTTGCTGAAATATGAGGTCTCATGTTCAAGAACGTCCTATTATATTCATACATACACACATCAAAGCACATTACAGTCATTAAAACTCATGTAACCAATTAACTGAAAATATGACTAAAATAACATCTGTAGTTGCATTTTTGCTTTAGAAATGCCATTTAATAGGATCAGTTTGTATTCAGATGTCAACATCTGGTTTTAGACTAAGTCAAGAATAACTATTGATGACCAAATCTGTTTTATTAAACATGCTTGGTACTAACAAGCAAGAAATTACCTTACACTGTAAAACATTTGAGCCACATTTAGTTATGTTCTACTTTTTTAATCAAATAAATTTAGCAAGTTTTACAGTTTGAACCTAAATGTGTGAGATTGTGTAAGATACATTTACAGTAGTGAGATGCGTTAACGTTTGATTCATTTGGTCATACCTTCCAAGAGTTGAATAAACTAGAGCTTTAAGGTTAGCACTAACGAAGGAAGAAAAAGACAATAGCGGGAACTCAGAAGACTGAACTATTGTGAAAACAGTTAATATTTCTAAACTCAGGGTGTTTAACCCCTAGTCAGCTTATTAACTCAAAACACCTCTGATGGTTTCCTAAATGTGATCAGTTCTGTGTGCCTTGATTATATTTGTTCTGTTGATGCAGATCTTACTTTGGGGAGAAGGTGGCGCTGTACTACCTGTGGTTGAACTGGTACACCTTACTGCTGATTCCAGCTTCTGCTATAGGTGTAGTCATCTTCCTTTATGGTCTGGCCTTTTTCAACACCAGCCCTCTAATGTAAGTCAGGTATCTGCATAGAATTACACTTCTGCTCTAAACTATAAACATTTTACAGAGCAGCTTTTGAAGAGTTCCACATAAAACAAACTTTACATAAAAAATATTTCAGAAATGTTTAATGCTTCAACCTTTGTGTGTGTTCTTGTCCAAAGTAAGGAGGTGTGTGACTCTAATGTCACCATGTGTCCGAGATGTGACAGGGTGTGTGAGCCACTGCAGCTCTCAGAAACATGCACTTACGCTAAGGTGAGCATGACAAATTACTGGTCATCAGTCAAGAAATGGCGGAAAGGCCTGCAAAGAAACTAGTATGTTTTAGCAGAACTAAATAATAAATTAGTGAATGTCTTTTTTTTGTGGAAAATCAAAAATATTGGCAACATATTTGAAAAAGAGTTGCTTGATTTATCTTAATTTTCATTCATTCATTCATTTTCTTTTTTGAGGTGACTAGTGAATTTCTGTTGAACAGTATCAACAAGAAAATGTAACTTCAACCAAAAGGTTCACACATTTCCCTTCAACCAAAAGGGAAATGTGTTTTTTTTTTCCACAAAACAATTTTTGTCTTGTTACCCAAACAGGAAGTGCATAGCAGTGTTGGTGTACACTGAAGTTGAACTTAATTTTTCTTACTTGTTATCATGATGCTATCCAAACAAATCCAGTTAAAACTTATCTGGTTCCAGAATTTAATAATGTGGACCTAATCAGAACCGCACATGTAAATTTTAAAGCATACTGGTCAATTTGTGTTAGAAATAAAAAAAAAAGTTATGTTTATGTGTTTTTTTTTGTCTTCTTCCCTACACAGGTCAGTCTTTTGTTTGACAATGAGGGAACTGTTGCATTTGCTATGTTCATGGCAATCTGGGGTAAGTCTCTGATTTAATTACTGTTGCTGGTTTGCTGGTTTTCTGGGTGATTTTGACATTTACCCTCTTTGTTTCAGCCACAGCTTTCCTGGAGTTTTGGAAGAGACACAGAGCCAAATATGTCTCAGAATGGAAGGTCTATGACTGGTCTGAAGAAGAGGTACAGCTTTTCTTCAACATCAATCCCAACAATATGATGCCCTTTGGCGTGTTTGTTATTAGTCTTTAGGTAATAATTGACAGGACTTTTCCCTGAGCGATATCTATCTGAATAGCAACTTGTAGTATTTACTATTCAGATAGAATAAACCAAAATCATGAACACAACTGAACTGAGATTTGTACTATTGTATTCTGTTATGTTATTCTGATGATGGCTTTAATAGCTATAATAATGGAGATCACTGATTCATTTACTTCATGTTTCTCCAGTTTAATTCCATCATCTTTGCTGGTGTTTATTACTGGAAACTCATGATGTGTTCTGTTTATATTCAGAAGTCAGAGTTCCCAAAGTTGAATGTTTCCCATAAAATTACTACAAGTTGCTGGTGTAAAATATGTGGTATCATTTCTGTTACATAAACTTTGAGATATTGCCCACATAATTCTGTTGAGTATCTGTTAATGAACTTGTCCCTTTTTAGTGTTTGAATGTATAACATGGAGAGAAATACAATATTACCAGTTCTTTAACTTGCAACTAGTACCTCCTCTGCTAAATTATGAAATCATGAAATTATGACATGTTGAAAACATGTCATTGCTGGCAAAGATGTAGTTTACCTCGGCACTTTAATCCTAGCAGTGGAGGGTAGTTGTTTACAGCCCAGGCAATTTCCGGTCAGCGTTATAGCCCAGCTGGTGCATATGTTACTGCCACACATTAGTGATTGAATAAAAACAGATCCAATCATTTCAAACTTCAACAGAGTTCACAACTTCAGAAAGTAATCATTTCTCAATACTTGAGTCCAGACCCTCTGGACGAAGCCTATTGTGAAATAAAGGGGTTACGTTTACCAGGCTAAAGAAAACACTCTAGAACTTCTCAATCTTCTTAAATCATGTGAAAAATGATTGGCATACTACAGAACCTGTTTCTATTGTGGAAGTCTCTTTTTGTGTAGAATCAAACCAAGCTTTTCTATGAAATTTCAAGTGTTTGTGTTTTTGTCTGTGTATCAACAGGAAGAACTGATCTTGGAACTAGTCAATAATCCAAACTGTAAGGTCAAAGAGTTCAAACACTCATACTTTCAAAGCGCTTTGGTCCTCATCTTATTTACAGTCATGGTAAGAAACACACATGCACGCACACGCACACATGCCTACGCACGCACACATGCACGTACGCAGACACAGAGAGACAGACAGGTTATGTTTCTCTATCTTCTCTATCTATATGTGCATCGACTTCCATTTTTTTCTATAGCCTAAATCTAACCTAAACTCAATCCACACTTTAGCCCTAAACCTAACTCCTACCACAAAAATAGTACTTCTCATCTCCAGGGTGTGGTCCCCACAAAGAGCAGTGGGTTCCCACAACGTTATATGTGTTTGGAAAATGGTCTTTACAATGTGTCAATGTATCACCTGGACTGATGACAACACTATCATGGTGCAATGTTGTCACAGAGCACTGAAACTCAAAGCATCTTTGATGTGATTCTGGTGTAGGAGGAGTTGGCGTCAGAAATGTGTCTAAAGGTTGAAACGTCACAGGGAAGAGATTGACACAGAACATTGACAGTTCAGTTTCACAGCTACTGTTCATGTTTGCTGCTCAGTCAAGGCATCACTAATAACTATTTTACAGCAAGTTAAAAATGATTTTAAGTACTTTCTTCTTTGGGAATATAATAAAAAGCAACTCATTGGTTAGTTTCAATTTAAAGTACTGGTTTTTCAAATTCAGTTAAAAAAAAAACATTTATATAAAATACCGTATTTTGGAAGAAGGCGAAATTCTTTGCTTGCTGTTTTCACTTCCTTTCTGTTTCGCTCTATTTTATAACTTTATTTGCTTTTTAACCCTAGATATCTGATTTGCTGTATTTTATGGTTAATGAAGGGTTTTCTTGACAGCCAATATGTTTCTGGCCAATAAAAACTGTTTCAATCCCAGGAACAACACTCTAGTCAGAATTCTGTGGCAAACCAGTTCTGGTCGATCTGGAATTCTTGGAGTGGAGCTTCGTTATAGATGCACAAACTTTCACTTCTGTGGCCTCACAAAGTGAAAACTGCAGGTTACCAAACAGAGCAAATTGTTGACTGAGATCAACAATTTGAAATCAAATTTTGTTTATTCCATTTATGTTCCGAGGCATAAATCAAAATAAGTCTCCAGCTAGCTGTTTAAACTTGACATGTTAATGTCGCAGGTTTCAGTGTTTGTTCTAACTGAAAACTGTAAATTCCTTTGAAGCCAGTCTTTACATGTGACAATTGGGTTTTTAGGTTTCATTTCTGTTCTGAGCAGCTCCAGCTAATAACAAACAGCACTTCACATGACAGACAGATCAATGTACACAAAAAAATTGAATTTAAGTTAGTACAGTAAAATTAAGCAGTAAAGTTTTCTTTACTATAGCAATTGAGATAGTGATACTTCTTCTGATAACAACAAGAACTCCTCAATAAAACAAAATAACTCAAACATGCCCAGTATAATTTCAGTGTTGAATTATTTATATAAATATCACTTTGTAAACTGAATTCAATCTGAATTTGTTTGAAAATTTGAAAATTCATTCCAACCCCACTTATCCACAACCCAGCCAAAACATTCACAGCAATCAGTTATAACAACTCGAATGTAATGAGTTAGAGCAATATTTAATTTCCCTTTCGGATCAATAAAGTATTTTTGAATTTAATTAGTTTGAATTTTGAATTAGTTGTTACATCATAGTCATTAATACTACAGCATTTGCTGAAAGCATATTATGATTGAAGAAAAGGACAGTAATAAATAAACCATGTACAAAGTCTGTCTGAGAAAACAAGATTATTTGACATGATGGAATTGATTTGATGATCTGCCTATCGGAAGAAAGAGAGAGAGAGAGAGCAATAGAGAGCGAGAGAGAGAGAGAGATCGCTCCTACAGTAGCAACATGTGGACAATAATCTGACACACGTTAGTCCAGATTTTGTATCTGATGAATTACAACCTAAACATTCATGTTTGGAGAAAGAATTGTTTAGGAGACAACCACGTACTACTGAGATTTGGAAGATCCACTGTATTCTGGGTGCAGAAGTGAATGAATAAATGAAATACCAGAAAGATTAGAGTTCTTGATTATGCTTTAGAAAAAAAGTACTGTGAGAAAAGCTTTCATTTCAATCAAATATGCCTGTTTAACTCATCCTTACTCATCTCTATCTTGCAGTTCTTTGTAATAAAAGTCTCTTTTGGGAGAAGATATTAATGATGTGCATGAATAATGCTAATGCTGATAAATCATTGATATGTTTTGTTTGCCTTATTTTTATTCATTATCAACAGTCAAAGAGCTGTTTTGAGATTTACAGTGTTATATTTGTTGAAGGAAAAAAGCTACATGTGTTTGTGATTCCATTAATTTTGTGTGTGTGTGTGTGTGTGTGTGGGGGGGGGGATGTGTGGGTGTGTGTGTGTTGCAGTTGATGGTGATTATCGGCATCACTCATGCTCTTGTGGTGTTTCGAGTGATGACTGCCTCCTGGTTTTCGATAGCCGAGTCGGATTTTCTACAAGAAAAAGCCTTCATGTTTGCTATGCTGCTGGGAGCAGTGCTGCACTACATCACCATTCAGATCATGAACCGGGTATGTTTATTCAGATTCTGATTTTAAAATTAACACATCCAGCCCTGGTTGAAAAACATGCAGGAACAGATAAAAAACAGTTATTGATTTTAATCAGTCTGGATAGGGTTACAAAATCACTTCAAAGGCTTTTTGATTAAATAAAAACACAATAAAATCACAAATAGATGACTAAAGATCAGCAGTGAACCTTTGCTGGAGTGGCCAGCCTCTCAAACTTATTTAAAATGAATCAGAACTGGACTTACCAAGGAGATCACAGAAAACCCCAGAACAACTAAAGCACTGCTGGCCTAACCTGCCTGAGTTTGGTCAGTGTTTATGACTCAGGAGTAAGAAACAGACAAGGAAAGATTCGACTCAATTTGGTTTATTTATATAGTACGGTGCCCTCTAGGGGACATGGGGAACATTTTTTCTTTTGAATTACCTCGCAATACTTTTGCATTTTGTTGCAATATTAATACTGCAATATTTGCTGGTTTATTTTGCGTATAGTCACAAATGTCAATTTAAAATTTCAAATATATACACATTTAAAGAGCCTTGATAGTGTAGAATATGAATTGAAAATCGATTTATTCACTGCATGTTTATGTTTATACCTGTCTGTGGCTGAGATGGAACTGTACATGAAAACAGCTGTTTAAACCACTCAGAGTATCCCAACACAATCCTCCATTTCCCATAGAGGGTTCCATAACATAGCATCAGTTCACAACACAAGTTGTTTCAAGGCATGTTACAAAAAAAAAAAAAAAAAACTAAAAAATAAAAATAAAATCGACTGACATTTTTTAGGATTAGTGATTATTTATGTCTTTCTTCTGTGTCTGACTTGCATCTGAAACCACATACAGAGCCTGAAGCAAGTTAATGTTATCAACTTTTGAGAAAAGCTTTTCAACCTTCTAACAATGCCATCTGGTGATTAAATTGTGCAACTTTACACAACAATGAATTGCATAAATAAAAAAGCACAAATAACATAAAACTACATTTTACTGCAGCGTATACATGTGAGGCCCCTTTTAATGTCTTTCAGCATTAATTCCCCACTCACTTTCAATAAAATGAGTGGGGAAATAGCCTTCAATATTTCCTGCTGAGTTATATACTCTCATTGACCACTTTATTAGATACACCTTGCTACTACTGGGTTGGACCCCTTCTTCCTTCAGAATTGCCTGAAGGTAAAAGTCCTTTGTGGCTAAACCCACAAAGAATCCAACGAGGTACTGTTTGAATCCATTCAAAGAGTTACCGGAAACATTCCTCAGAGTCTGGTCCTTATGGACATGATAGCATCACACAGTTGGTGCAGATTTGTTGGCAGCACATTCATGACGGGAATCTCTTTTGGGGAGCATGTGCAAATTGTAGCCTTGGTTTCCTGAACTTAGCTGACTAGAATGGCACCTGGAGTGGTCTACTGCTGCTGTAGTCCATTCGGTTCAAGGTTTGATGTGTTACATACCACTTAGGTTATTTGAGTTACTGTTTTTGTTTTATCAGATTGAACCAGTCTGGCCATTCTCCTCTGACCTCTGGCATCAACAAGGCATTTGCGCCCAAAGAACTGCTGCTATTTTCTCCTTTTCAGACCGTTCTCTTCAATCCCTACAAATTGTTGTGCATGAAAATCTCAGGAGAGCAGAAGTTTCTGAAATACTCAGACCAGACAGTCTGGCACCAACAACCACACCACGTTCAAATTCACTTCAATCACCTTTCTTCTCCATTCTGATGCCCGTTTTGAACTGCAGCAGATCTTGGCCATGTTTACATGTCTAAAAGTATTAAGTTGCTGCCATCTGATTGGCTGATTGAACATTAATAAAGTGGTCAGTGAGTGTATATGTTTCATGGTTAGCTGAGATGCTTTAAACTTTAATATCAGTAAAAGTAGAACAAGAAATTCCTGAAACTATAATCCTTCCATTGTTTTATTTATCTTTCTAAAATTGACAAGAAAGTCTCTTGATAAATGTACAAAACGGGAGTACATTTGTTTTAAAAGCTTAAGAAAATATTTATTTGTTCTTGTGCATTATCCTGATCATACTCAACAACAGTATTATTCTACCATCTCTCATGTTAATCTAACTGTAATTTTGTTTGCAGGTGAACAGATGGGTGTCCCTAAAACTATGTGATCTAGGTGAGAGCATGAGTCCTGGTCAGGATGGAGCATTTCTTTCATTATGTTTTTAACCAGGTCATCTGTTTCTGAATGCTTTCTTCTGTCTGCATTACTCAGAGAAGCTGAACTCACTTGCTGCCAAAGAGAGAAGCTTCACAGTTAAAATGTTTACCTTTCAGTTCTTCACCCTCTTCTCCTCTCTCTTCTATGTGGCTTTTTTCATGGGCAGGTATGTACTCCTGGAATACCATGCAAGTCCAAAACACAACACATAGCTTTGTACTCCCTATGTTATTTCTTTTTATATGCTTTAGAATACTGCAAATATTTTTATAATTATTTCTTGTCTGTATGACTTGATTCTGATAAAAACACAGTGATGTTTTGAAAAAACCAAATGATACCAGTTTTCCAACAATTGGGTATAATAAAAATGTTCTTGCTTTGTGTCAGGATTAACGGTCATCCTACAAACTATGTGCGTTTAGTTGGGTACAGACTGGAAGAGGTGAGATCACTTCTTGGTTTGTCACACTGCAACAACATGGTAAATAGTAAACCCTGATGTGTGGTTTGTCTTGCAGTGCCATCCTAGTGGTTGTTTAACAGACCTTTTTACCCAAATGGCAGTGATCATGCTGCTCAAACAGACTCTCAACAACGTCTTTGAGATCCTTGGGCCGTAAGTGGGACGTTTTGTTTTGACTTTGCACGTTGCATTCAGGGAACCGATAGTGGATGTAATTCTCTTGCAGCTGGGCCAGAAGCCTTTGGAGGAAACGAACTGCAAAGCGGCTGAAGAGACAGTGTGGAAAATGCTACAGGAAGTCTTGTCGTAATAAACAGGGTCGTATTGAAGCATGTGAACTTTGCAAAAAACGAGACTGGCTGAGAAACTATCACCTTGGTAGCACGGACGCCTTCAGCCTGTTTAATGAGTTCTTGGAAATGGGTAGGTCTATGTCACTGTAACTACAAATATTACAGCCCTGAAAATGAGGGGAGAGAGAATCATGAGAGGGATTTTCACTTGTTTCTCTCACACTCCAGTTTAATGCAGTTAGAAATTAGCATAACATTAAATGCAGCTCAATGTCACACAAGGAGGAAAGTGCTCATTTATAAACCAAAATAAACCACATCTGACATGGCGTGGTTTTTGTTTCCAGCTTTTAGAATTGGAGGTTGCTGGTTAGCTTGCACGTTGTCCATTGCTCTCTGTCCTCAGTAATCCAGTTCAGCTTCACCACCACATTTGTGGCTGCCTTCCCTCTGGCGCCCCTTCTGGCTCTTATGAATAACATCATTGAGATTCGCCTGGATGCCATCAAAATGGTCCGCTATGAGCGGCGCCTTCTTCCCAGGAAGACCAATGACATTGGTAAGTCATGAAAAAGAAGCATTTCATGGTCTTTCATGTTGCTTTAAACTCAGAAAGCCTATCTTTAGAAAAGAGCCACAAAAAGAGCACTTTCTGCCGCTTAGTGCAATAGATACAACACAGAAACAGGAGTGTGTATGTAAGTGTTGCATTTGCAGATTATTTTTCTGTCTGCAGGAATATGGACGAAAGTGTTGGAAGCTGTTGGTGTTTTTGCTGTGATCATTAATGGCTTGGTCATTGGCATCTCATCTGACTTTATTCCTCGTCTGGTTTACCGTTATCATTACGGCCCATGTGCCAAAGGCATCAACTCGACAGAGTCAGTCATGTCTCCAGCTTAAAGCTCTGACATCATGTTAATGCTGGGTTATGTTCTATCCTCATGTTGTTTTTCTTATGTGCAGCTGTATGGATGGCTACATTAATGACACTCTGTCTGTAGCCTTCATGAAGACCAACATCAAAGATGAATATATGATGAAAACAAACGAGTATGCTAACGTCACTCAGTGCAGGTGAGAGAACTAAATGACTGGTTTGTGTTCACACATAGTGTTCCTTCATAGACGGGTCAACCAGGTCCAACTGTTGTTTACAGTTACAGAGACTACAGGAATCAAGACTACTCTCTGACCTCTCAGTTTTGGTTCGTCCTGGCTACACGCTTTGCGTTCATCATTCTCTTTGAGGTTAGTTCCTGGAATATTGAAAACATTTTTAAAATTAAAACTAGAAAAAGAACTGAATTTGGTTGTCTTACCTAATTTATCTTGTGTGTGTTTTCAGCACGTAGTGGTGGTGTGCAAGTTTATCGCAGCTTGGTTCGTCCAAGAGAAACCTGTCAAGGTTAAGAATCATCGCTTGAATGATAAAATGGATCGGCTCAAGAGTGAATTAATGTGAGTCAAATGGAATAAACATAAGTCATCTTAAAAGGAAAAACTAAAACACATTTTGTCCATGTGTAATGTAGTTTTTTCCGCTCCAACAGTATACCACACATTGTTTGATTTTGAGTTTGATGTGGTCTAGACTGTGTTGTACCTTTGTGATCTAAATATGATGTAATTTGCTTCTACCTGATGGCTCCAGTTCAGTGTAGTGCTGTGGTGTCAATTCATAATTAATGTGTTCTCAAGACACATTACCAGACAGTAGTACTGTTATAATACAGACACCAGTGTTTCCCTACCATTATCCAATTTATTTTATTAGCCAATCTAAATAACACGTGTGTGTTATGCTGCCTGGTCGTCCACCTCAGAATTTCTGCAGGGAGCTCTCGCCACCTTTCACTCAAACTGGAAGGTGCTCTTGCAGAGCAGGTTTGCCTGTAAAAGCATTTATATGATTCCTCTATGAGAATGTATTTTCACAAAATACTGCACCAACCTACATATTGAGAATAAAAGCCACGCCTCTTCTATCAAAAGCCACCAATGCCACAAATCACCAATTTTACCATGTATCTGTTTAAAAAGTCATACGCTGGTTTATGGTTTAGGATGCTGTAAAATATGACCAAATCCTGTTAACATGCTTTTGTAAATTACCTTCTGAATGTCAAAAATAATGACATTTATTCACGTCATTGAATTCAAGTTTTTATGAGTGTTTGCATTTGATGAGTGGCAGCATTCAATGGCCTGAATGAAAGCCATAATGTTTGCGGCTTGTGTCATCTGGAGAGATCTACCCCGAATACAAAGGGAACTTGGAGAGAAGAAATGAATAAGGATACTGTAAGGTGTTTGAAGGAGCTGTACATGACATCCTCCCTAGAGGAGGTGGAGAATGAAGACTTGATTCCATCACTGTGTCAGCAGTGGTTGAAGTGGTAAAGCTTCAGGACATTCTGTGTGGATGCTGAAGGCAGTGTGCCTGTGATGGTTGGCGCAACTCTTCAGTGTCATAATGACGATATGACAACACTGGTGGTGGTCTGATGTGGTGGTCTTTATATGTTAGGCTGGAGAGTATGTTCTGGATGAACTGCTTTAATCCCTGCACTCCGTGGGAATGCAGGGAGGGTCAGTAGTGTGATCGCATAGGATGTTGGAGAGACAGTTCCCTTACACCTTGAATTGAAGTGGAGCAATTTCACCCTGGTTTTGGATCGGAGGTCCACATCTTTACCCTCATTGCTGAGGAGATGTAGTCATAGAGAAGATGCTGTCTAGTTGGGGAACCTCCGAGTCTTTGCTTTCTGCTTTCTGGAAGACAGTTTTTATGCTGGCTTCCTAAGACAACTATTGAAGTTCCCCCTGTGAAAGAGTGAAACAGCCTTAATGAGAGTTAGATCCTGCTGATGATCTCAGGCTGGTCCTCAGCCTGAAGAAGGTGTACCGCTGGAGGTCAGTCTCTGCTCCGAGCAAAGATTTTCAGGTATTGAGGTTTCTAGTTCATGGGGTTCTGTATGCGCCGCTCCAGTCTGATGTGGTTCAGAAAGAACACAAACATTAAGCCAAAGATGAAAAGTTTTAAATGCTAGAAACTTTTAGAAATTGGAAAATGTAATTATTTATACCTTGCCTATAATATGTTTGTAGCACAGTGTCTCCTATCAGCAAAAATATAAAGCTGCAAACTTGATAAAATTCATTTTCCATGACTATTCCTTCTTATTTGTGGTATCTGTGTTGTTTTTCAGTGAACTGAGTTTTTGTTTTAAATACAATAAATAAAAAAACGAATTAATACAAAATTTCACATGCTTGAAGCAGTTTATTCAGATTTTAATTTTATTCTGTATGTTTTTTCTGTTTTTTTTTTCAGGGGCAGGAGGCATCCCAAATCAACCGAAGTGTGACCTTAGCTGACCTCCGATCTGTTTCCATTGAGAGGAGCTGAAATGAAAAAAAAAATAAAAATATGCTTTTTAATAATCTGTGCCTGCTGTTGTAATAATAATAATGTGAAATATTTTTTCAAGAATATTGTTGAAAATAGCAGTTTTTTTTTGTTTTGTTTTTTTTTACTTTGAAATGCAACTACATGTGTTATTGAATGTGGAACATTTAGCTGCTTCATTCCTGAACTAGTTTCATTGTTGCTCTTATTGTTTGTAAGAAAAAACAGATAAACATTTACTGTTGTTAAAATAGATGTGCAGTGAGCCAAACTGCTGAATATTTTCATTTTAATTTTTCTGTCTAAACAAGCAAGTAAATAAAACAGTCAAGAAGACAAATGTGGAGTCATCTCTTCTTTGGTCAGTGTCCAGCAATTAAACATGTCCTCCACATAACCCTGCTCTCAGGCTCTTCTCATGTCAGCTGTATAGTCACTCCCTTTTTAGCTGACAAATAAAGTACAATATGTGAATATAATCAAATACTGATGGATGAATGAATGAATGAATGAATGAATGAATGAGTGAATGGGAGATGTTTATACTAAAGCTAGGAAGTTAGGCTGGTAGAAGGCTGCAGTAAAATTCAGAAAAAGGATCAATATTGCATCACTTCCTTCACTCTAAAACAAATGATCCCTTTTTGGAGAAAACAAACACTTGCAATGAGCTGAAGGCTTTTTAGAAACAGGTTTTCTAAAAATAGTAACCGTGTTTAGAAAATCTCAGGGTTTTATTTTTTGTTCCAGAGGGAGAATGGAATCCAATTCTGAAATCATGACCATATTAACAGCCTCTGCACAGATAAATAGTGCATTGATCAAAATCCAGAGTTTCTGCCGATCTCTGTGAAGCAAGCTGCCTAATATTTGTTGCTTTTTAATTCAATTTAAAAATATCAAAGGGACATTAAATGTTGCAAATCAATCTACTCCAGTTTACTGTAGATGCTGAAGGTTGTCTTCTCAGAATGCTGCTCATGATTCAGTCCCTCCTTGAGGTCAGTGAGTCTCTGAGCATTACGTGGATCATCCAAGGGTCAGAGATCCTCCTGGACAAGAGAATGACGCTACGATGAGTGGAAAGGAATTAGACAAAGACTTGCATTAAGATTTAAAAACTTCTCATAAAGCCTTTGTTCTCTTTTTTTCCCCCCATTTGATTCCCTTACATGTGGTCTTGGGAGCATTGGTCTGTTTTTGAAAAGAACAGGTTTCTGCCGATTAAGGAAATTTGTTTTTTCTAATATTCACAAAAAATCGTCACTACTGGGAGTTTCTGGTCCTTGACTGAAAACAAAAAATGCATGTGCAGAGGTTTAAGGGTAAGCAGATCAAATAGGTTTCAAACAAAAATAAAACTCATAGATAAGTTAGTAAGACACCTCTATTCAAGCAACAACAGATCAAAGCAGTAAAAAGCCCATATACAATTCCTCAACCTTTATTAAAATTATTGTTGTACTTATTTCACATGTATATTAAATGTATTTATTTTTTAGTTTCTAAACTTTATTACATTGGAAATTGCTACATGATCAAACCAGTTTAACAGGAAGAGGTGACGTCCTGAACAGGTGACAGAAATCATCTACAATTATAAAAGGAGAGTTGATGTCAAACAGGATTAAGAATTTAACTATTTAAAGGCCCTTTGTGTTATTCTACTTCTGAGATTGTTTATTCAGCACAGGGAGAGTTGTATTAAAAATGAAGAACTCACTCATAATACAGGTAACGGCACATTCACCCCTTTCTTTGCTGTATTATCAGTGATAACACAAAAAGTTTGAATTGTGACACAGTTACATAGAAGTTGGAGGCCTCAACATGTTTAATGTTAGACAGAACTACCTAAAAACACTGAATAGTTAAAGTAAAACTTGTCTTTACTATCAGTCACATGATGTACAGTAATGACTCATTTCAATGTTTTTAAATCAGAGCCTGCAGTGTTTTTTTTCTGCTTGTGGATTTTAGTTCTTACTCTTGAGTAGGAGCTTTTATTGGTAGATTATTGTCTGTAATGTAACTATTGATCAGAACTGATTAATCTAAGCCCACAGGGCAGTACTACATGACTCAGAGGAAGTGTACTAAATGCAAACACGTGAACTTAAATGAAGAGCTCACAAGCGCCAACCGTCAGAGTCCAAAACCCAAGTGGAAAACCAGTTAATGTTTGTAGACTTCCTTACCAGCAACAAGCTGAGGGCTTTCTTGGAACAAGTTTTTTAAAAATGCCGAGTAACACTGTAGTTAGTAGCTAACATTTCTATGTGATTTGTACTTTCAAACTTTAGCAACATAGTCACAAAAGGGGACATCATTACACAAAATAAACATTTCTTTTTACTGCAGATATTAGTAGGTTTTATACAAGGCAGCCATGTTGGATCTGGAGGTCAGAATTAGAAACTTCTATTCTGTTAACGCATTTTTCAACTGTAAAACCTCAAAACTTCTACTAACTATGAAAAACAGAATGCATGAACACACTGACTCCATGAGCCAATTATGTAATTTGCAATGACAAAACGCACACAAAAAATGAAAATAATCCAAGGCCTGCTGTGTTTAAGAAATTCTGTAGACTTGGTGGAACTTCATCTGGTTATTGAAACCTTTGAGAAGCACTGCTCTAACAATGACTGTGAACTTCAATATGTTTCATTAAAAACATTATTCATTTGTATTATCAAACTGTTATTGACATCAGGAGCTAAAACTAAATGAAACTGTGACCCTCAGAGGTGAGACTGAGAGTGACATGACGGTCTGAGGGCTCGGCAGGATGTCACGTCTCCTCAGCATTCCTCTTTGAGACAAGAATCCAGAGGGAGGAACCTGGGTGGCTCTTACCTCATTTTTCCACACTGCTATGAGGAGACAGTGCAAGTATAAAGTTTTACACAGCTTTGATTTGAATCACATAACTGCTGCATTTTACACTTTAATCACTCTTTCTCTTACATAACATTTGTGTCTATAACTCACAACTTAATTCTGATACTAGAATTAGTACATGAACTGCTTTGTAGAAAAACAGCATGCGTGTGTGTATTGGTGTGTGTTTTCACCCAAACTGGCAAGAAACTGAATGTGCAGGATGGACTGAGAGACACAGAATAAAGTGTCCAACACCTACAAGTCATCAGAGTTTTGGAGTAATTTCATGTTAAATATCCAATTTAAACATATCTACCAACATTCCAAATCCAGATAAACTATGTCTGTCTTCTCTGTTATGTTTCTTCAGAAAAGACATAAGTGTTCTCAAAAAGGGGCAAAATATTCATAAATATTCTTGATAAACCTTTTCAAAACTACTGCATCTAGCAGGTTTCTTCTCTGATGGGAGCTTGAGCAAAACTTTAGCTTCTAAAGAGAAGGGTGACGATGTGTAAAGCTTTCAGTCACCTCAACAACAAGAGACATTCCAGAAATGAGAAGAATCAGAACTAGGTTTAAAGTTAAAAGGGCAACTTGACACACACTAACAGATCTCTGCAGTCTGTATGTCTGAACAACATTAAGTCTGAATCTATTCTGTCAGGGATAAACCATATGTCATGTCAGAATCAGTCTAAAATAAACCAGCTACATATGACTGTCAAAAACATAACACAGGCATAAATCATTCAAACGGTTCCAAATGGAGGAATAACAGCTCCTGTGTTTGGTTCTGGTCGGTCCGTTTGCCTCCTTCTCGTCACTGCAGAATTCACACTGGGAGGAAACAGAGACTAGAAGCTGGGATCGACGAAGTTCTGTCGGGTAAATCCTCTCTGTCGAACACAAAGAAATAAAAAAAAAAACCCACTTAAAATAATACATTTGATGGAGCCACAGGATTCCTCCTGAATATTGCAGAGATTGCTGTTACCAAATGTTTGCTGAACACTCAGGCTGTTATCTCCACAACAACAGCAATGAAAGAAGATAAAAGTAGAAAAACATTATTTCACCATCCAGAAAATCCACCAGTCATCCGGCACATTCCACATCATGGTTGGAATAGTCATTTTTCATCTCGCTCTTTTTTATGGCTTTAAATCATTTTGTGTATGTGAGTCAGAAGCCACATGAGGGAGCATTCGGCTCGGCTCATGTAGGTTTTGTTTACTGTGTAAAGTTCAGTTTGGAATGATTGTGTGTGAGTTTGTTGGTGGGCTGATTATAGAGGAGAAAATCAGAGCTTACTGACTGCCAACGCCATCACAGGGACAAACAGACAGACAGACCCTGAGATAGATTCTCTAGTCCTGCTGAGTTCAAAACACACAAATACTGCTGGGACATCATAGCAGGAATGATGAAATTAGGGATGATTATGAAGCATATTTGTATTTTGTTCATAAATCTGATTTTAGAAAGAAAGAAACAAACAAACAAAAACTGTTTTCAGCTGAGATGGCTCAATCCTGATCTCCAGCTTGAGCCAATCAGTCATTTGCCAAAACAAAGGTAACCATTTTGTAACCAAATAGTCCACAGAAATGTTTGCTAGTGTATTAAAATGTCCACAAGCCTTCATGACAAGAGAAGGGAGAAAGAAGATGGACCAATGGGAAGCTGAGGTCAAGAAAAAAAAAAAGAGAAACCGATATGAGCAGACATAAAGCAGAAAACCATCTGGTGGAAGCAACTGGCCAACACCCACACACACACACACACACACACACACACACACACACACACACACACACACACACACACACACACACACACACACACACACACACACACACACAGAGACACACACACACACACACCCAAACATATGATAAAACTGAAAAAACAAAACCAATTTATATTGTCGTGAGTCAGGAATATAAAGTGGTGCACTAACTAAACTAGATGGACTGAGTCAGCTTAAAACTGCAACTTTTATTGGTGCTTTCTACCTCCAATGAGTGTGTTAATGAGGGGGTGTAAAATCTGTGGCTGCCACTCCACCCAAACCATCCAGACAGTAACTTTTTTAGTAGACCAGATTAAACTCCTTCTGCTTTTGTTTATAACTGAAACAGTAAAAGCTGGAGTCATTTTCACAACAGAGCTCTGTAGTGACCGAGAGTCACCAGTGGTGACTCACCACTGTACTGGACTCACCAGTTTGTAATCTTTGTGCAGCTTGTTGTACTGGAACATGTTGCAGAGCACGGTGGAGGCTGCCCTGGCAGCCCGGAGACTCCCAGAGCTAAACAGAGACAGCAGGCGGGTCACAGTGAGGGAGTGAGGAGGGGGACACACAGGTCAGACCATCACCAGTAAACATTTACAAATGACATGATAAATTCTATTGAGACTTCTCTCTGAGGGATCAGT